TGGAGAATATGTACAGCTGGCCCGAAACTGACAATTATCTCTTCAGCCAGATGCTCAGTTAGTTACTAAACATTTGTGTGCAAGAGACTTGGTGTTGATTTGAGAGATGCTACCCAGCACTGGTATTCACATAGCAGAGATCAGATTCCTTCCTTGTTCATGATCTTAACTACAAAATCTGATGATAGTTCTCCATAAAGGCACCTGTTTTACAGTAGTATTGGACAGTGTACACAGTTGAGGGTAATGCACTGTACTGGAAACACTATACACCAGCATTCTTGCTACAGTTGTGTGAATTACGTTGTAAATTATACAGTTATATATTACACTGTTACATTGTTAATTTTACAACAATTATTCCAAAAAAACACCATAGAATGTGCACTGGTCGCGAGTAGGGGTGTACCAATCATGAACTTTTATGACCAATTCTGATTCTGATTTTTTTTTACCAGCAGTTTGACTGATGGACAAACGTGCATGCACTTCAGACAAGTCTTCAGAGGAGCAATACATTTTCGTAGATAACATGCCTTATTAATATAGCTCAAATATGGGTCCTAGGATCTCTTACTAGGGGTCAGTTTTACTTAGCGTACACCGTAGAACAGCAGAGAATCTACAATTGAAAGAAATCACATGTATTTGAAGTAAACACCCCGAAAACAAAGGAATTAACATAGTTTTGTTTAACATGCTCAAAAAACTGCTAACAACCTGTTGAGCTAACATGCTTCTCCACTAGTATTTAGAAATCATTTTCAATTTAAAATATTTACAGAACTATGACATGTAAATCTTCTCAAAGAAGAGAGTATGTTACATCTTAAATCTTTAAATACCAAAACTGGCATATATTAAACACAGTGTTAAATGCCCATTAGTTTAGTGCCAATGCAAATTAAAACATCATGAACTTACTGGAATATACCATGCTTTATGTTAGTACAGGTTGTGTCAGGAATTCAGAGAGATGACTGTTGTTAAAAGAGTGATGCTTTGCATGAATGACATGTTATAATTTAAAATAGTTTCTCATTGGCATAGTTGAATGCTATTTGTTTAAAAAATCAGATATAGCAAATGTCGTAAAATGCCATCTGTAATTAAGTTCAGCCAATGTAGGAATGGCCAAAAAATAAATGCAGCTTCCATGTACCGAGCTGGCTCGCAGTATGTACACCATAAAATCCCTGCACAGATCTGCTGAAATTGTCTAATTAAATCAGCAAGTTGCTCATAAGATTTTAAGAGTGAAAATCTTCCAATTCGAATTCACAACTAATTGATATCCAGTTTGTTTGGAAGTTAGAATCAGTGGCGGTAATGACTAACAAAATGCATTATTGCAAGTGCAGCAGTTTAGACTGTCATAAGCGTTCTCTTTGCTGGTATGAAAGGGTTTTGTGCCACATTCCAGAGAACATAACTGTAACCTTTCTGCATGTCTCTGCCAGATAGAGGAGCTTCTATTGCTACCTCCAATGTCTCCTGGCAGCACGGTGATAAAAAAAGGGGCCATTCACCTGCATTATCTCTCTCTCTTTTCACCAACTCCTCCTAAATCTTCACCTTCTCTATCTACTCTTTCAAAGCAGACAAGGGGCCAGAATACATCAGCAGAGAACAGTAAGCGCATGAATATGGAAGCAGACAATGGGAGGTATCAATCAGCAATCAACGAACAGTCTGCCTTTAAAACCCAGCCAAAACACGTACAGTAAGGGTGTGAAAACCGAATCCTAGACAAAGGTGTAAATTATTTCCAGGTAACGATTTTTGAGCGTATGTGTACACACACACACACACACACACACACACACACACACAAATACCTTCACCCATTGAATTCACACTCACATGCTTACACGAAAGCAGAAGAATGCCATTAGTTGGAGAGACAGGCCAAGTGTTAATGATGCTCTGTGTTGTGTGTGTGTGTCTGTGTGTGTGTGTGTGACAGCAAGAGAGCAGACTGGGGCTCATTTGCAGACTCATTTGGCTGTTTGCTGTAAATGTCATCTCTCAGATGAAGGCAGAAAAACAAAGAGCACAGTTCACCCGCACACACACACACACCCGCACGCACACACACACACACAAACACACAGAGAGCAACATACGTATACTACAGCAGCTGCTATGCTTCAGAGGTGATGATGGATCAGTCCTGGCATGCTGATACACACTTAATACAAACCCCTGAGAGGGCAAAAGCTCCACATTTTTTGACTTTTTGAGTTGATGCATGTGGTCTGTGGTGTGTATGTGTGTGTGTGTGTATGTACATGTGTGTGAGTGAACAGAGGGGGTGGAGGTGTTACTGTGCATGTGTTTGTGTGTGAACGTGGGCGAATGAATGTGTCTGTGTGTGTGTGTGTACTGTGCTTGAGCAAGGCTAAGACTGAGAGGTGCATGCGCTCATGTTGCTGCTTCTGCGTAGATTTATTATGAGCTTGTGTGTGGCTTCTTAAAATATTGATGCATTTCACCTTTATTTTCCATTTACTGTGGAGTGCATGCAATTTTTCAGGCCCATCTTAAGGTCATTCAGAATGCACTTAGCGTGTAGCTGCGAGGGGAAAAAAGCCTTCCCCTGGATTCTTAAGTGACATGGTTAAAATTGTGGCAATAATCATATCCCTGCACCTGCTCTCTTCTGCATGTTTATGGTTTAAGATGCACTTCCGTAATGGCCCATCATGCTAGTTCTGCAACAAGCCATCAAATGGTTCTGTTTGTGTCTTGCACTGAGGCCTTTTCTTCAACTACACAGTTTAAGCTAAGCTCTGCCTAAAAAAAGCATTTTCAGCAGAGAATCTCAATTACAGTGAAATGATTTTATAAACCTGGACAAGCCTTTGTTTGTGGCAAAGAAATCAGCCATGTACTGTAGGCTGGGTGGATTTAAGACCAAATTATCATCATCTTTGCATGGGAGTTCTAATTCCCCCATTAAAACTGGTCTTAATCTCTATGTGGTAAATAAGTAACATGCCTATGCAGGGAGAGAATCCTTACTTGTTTTGTAACTGAAATTAGAAAACGTTTTATTCACTAATGCATTATGTAGTAATAATATACATAGGCCCACATGCAGAGTTTTTATTGTTTTAGATGATTGGCACGAATAGCATTTAACATACAAAAACATAGAACACACAGATAAATAAACAAAAAGACAAATATCAAGGTTCATAAAGACGTACAATGTTGAAGGTGCAAATACGTGGATAAAAATGTATGGAGTCTGTTTAGTGTGGTAAAGTTCGTTATGTACATGTATGAACTTGGGGCTGACCTATATGAAAATTTTGTGACACTAATTTTAAAGGAGAATTCCACACAGTTTTCAAAATTTCAGCATAATGAAATGGTTGGGATGTAAACAAAGTCATTCAGAGTTCGATGTGAAATGCTCCATTCGAGAGAAACTTGCAGTCAGATTTGTTTACACCTCTGGTGATAGGAACCAGATTACCAAGCATTTAATGCCTCTGAAAGCTACCTCACAAAAAGTTATTACATGACGTGGTCATGAAACATTGTTTTGCGATAGTTTTATGAAAAGATTTTGCGAGCTTAAAACTTTTGCAATTTAAAAACGCTTTCATGGTAGAGTGGTACATTCAGGGCAATTTAAGGCAAAACAGTCCACGAGAAAAGCTGTTTTTTTCCAGATGTATGACTATTTTGCCATTACAACATAATGTTTAAAACTTCAGAAGACATGTATAGGTTCAGTGGTCATTTTGGAGAGTGAACAAAATGGCTGTATTTACGTATATATTGCAACCCTTGTTCCTGTCACCATCACTGAAAAGAAATCGGTGAATTTCTAAAAAATGAACCATCACTTACACTTACTCACTCACATTTAGCAGGTAGAAGGTTTGCCACAAGCTATTTGCACTGATGTAGGTTTGCATCATAAGAGTAGTACTTCACACCAGTGACACTGTGTGTGGCAATTAACTTACTTTTCTAATTTTTTCTATTCATAGAAAAGGCATTTTTGTGTTTTATTATTTTGTCCACATGCTAAAGTTTAGGTTTATCGATTTGGATGGATTTTTCATAGTCCAGCTTGTATAGCTGTGATAGAAACCGGCATGTTTTTTGATGTTTGTTTTCTTGTTAGAAACTTGATAAACCTGAATATAGGCCAACCAATATTTTTGTAGGGCTCTAATACAAGCCCTGGGATCATATCCAACTTCTGACAGTGTCAACATGAGATCACTTTCTGCCTTTCATGTCTTGCAATCCATTTATGTCACAGTTTCCACTACACAGTTGTCCCTGTGGAACTGATCCTTACTCTTATCACTTTGCTTCTGAATGCTCAGGCCATATTGGCTTTGCCTGAAGTTTTCAGTCGTCCAGCTAATACCCTTGTCCACCATGTTCTTTGCTTCCCTCTGGTGTCATTAAAATAATGCTACGCTAACAGTGGACCTGCACACAGTTAAATGCATCATGTTGCGTGTGTGGCTAAACACCGCCGGCCCATCGAGTGGCTGCAGCTGTGTCTGTTTGTGCGCGCATTCATGTGTGCGCACGCATGCATCCCGCGGGAAGGATTAGGATAGATGAGAGCTAAACGTGAGATGATCGGCGAGGGAAGTTTGGTCACATGCCGGCATGAAAATGAATCAAATTTATGCCCGATGGTGCGGCAGGAGCACAACGCTTAACGATGATGGAGTTTGGACACTTCATTTCTGTCATTGTGGAATTGGCCTGCCGCGCGCCTAATGATGGTAATATATGTTGCGGCGCATCTGGCGCACCCATCCCTCTCTCCATCTCACTTAAAGCCACTCTCATTGTTTGGCATATTGCATTATGAACGCCAGGATTAGAGGAAGGAACGAGGCGGAGGGCGGGAGGGGAAAAAAAGGGGGGAGAGAACATAATTTATGTGTTCATTCATTTGCGGGACGAGTTAATGGAAAACGCTACAGCAATCTAAATTCCCTTTCCTTTTGTCACAGGCGATTGCAACTTCGAGAAGCCGTTCGCCGCGTGCGGCTATAGCCAGGGACGAGATGACGACCTTGACTGGGAGCAGGCCAACACCAAAGAAAAGCCTTCAGTAAACCAGTGGATGCCTCCGGGTGAGCCTTAGACCCACAAAGAAATACACACATAGTGCTGAGCGGTACTGATAAAATTCAGTGTCAATATTTTCAGGTACATCACCGTATCACAGAAATTGATAATATTTAAGTTGCCATTAATAAAGTTCAAAGACCCATGTTTCCTGAGTACTACACTATACTAAAAGAATAGTTTACAAACCTGACCCTTATTTTGATTGCACTGTTTTGTATTTTTTCTCCTATAAGTACACCAAAGTGAACCTTACGCACTGTTCTAAACATTAAGACAGAAAGCAATGTCATGATATTTTGTTGTATAAATATTTTATTGAAATTTTATAGCAATGCATTTTTCTAAGGATATCATGAATGTGGTCAGCACTTAAAGAACAGTGACCAACTGCATTGTTTCATTACAAAGAGAGCATAATTTGTCCTGTTGAACTGGATTTACTGTAGCATACAACGTAAAACATCATTGTATTAAGTCTTTCTTGACAGCATTTTTTAAATGTGGCACCTCTGAGGCTTTTTTGTGTTCCAACTTATCAAACTCATTAAAACAAAAATGTGTATGAGAATGTACATAATAATACACATATAAAACACATCATAACATGCTATAATGCATTGTAAGTTGTAAGTGTTAATAACACTTTATAATGTCAGTGCCAAAGACACTCAGTCCCAGCTTGCGTAGCACATCATGACTAACAAACCTGCCTACTCATAAACACACGCTGAGTCACACCATAATTTCTTTTAACAACTCATGAATTATTCTTATCTAGAGTGGAATAATAGCTTATAGTCATTTTAATGCATTGTAACATAACATATATATACAAATGTATATAAATTTATGTATAGTAATTATAAAGTACTTGGATTTGTGAGCTCTTAGTAAAGTGAGACGTATTTTAGACTAAAGGAAACTTTATTTACACCATATAAACGCATTCTAATGTGTTACAAAGGTGTTCATAGTTTCTTATAGACATGATATTCATAGTTTCTTATAGAAGTTGTATTCACAGAAAGAGTTGCCCAAAATGTTGATATGTTTTCAAGTCTCATGATATTATATTTTTGCCAATTTGCCCACCCTTAGATATGTTATATGGTCACCCTACACACACACACAAACTGTTCACGCAGACATACCCATAAATGTATGGATTTTGACCAGTACACTCATACATATGAACATGTTTTAGCTTTTACTAAACATGACAAAGTGTTTTTTTTTCTTTCCTGTTTAAGTCCTGGGTGATTTGAAGAGGTGGTGATGCTTTCACAAAGCCCCTGCCTGATGGCATAAGGGCAAAATAAACACTGTGGTACTTACTCAGCAGCAATAGTCAGGCTTTAGAACTACCTGGTATACACCAACAAAGCCCACATATGAGCGGATATATGTGAAGAGATGTTAAGAGTTTGTGTTTTTCATATGGGCATACAAATCCAAATGAGTTTGCAATGCCTATATTTTCTTACCAAATACAACAGTTGTCGTCTAGTCGGCTATACTCGACTAGTGTCCGATGCCTTGGCCAAAAAAACTTTCTTTTGCTTCTTAGGTCTTTGCTGTAATGAATTAATGCTCTTGGCAGGCACAGTGACCATAAAAGGATCCTTCAGAGTGTAATTAACATCATATTGTTGTATTTTCACTTCTGTAAAAATGCAGCTGCATTGTTAAGCTCATACCTGCTGCAGATGAGAAATAACTAAAAAAACAAGCAGAACAATAACCACAGCTGTCACTGTTTCTCAGCCAGTAATAATACAGTTCTGACTACAGATACAGAGGCATCAATGGCCCTAAAGTGAGATGACTGGCTCTAGTATGGCAGCTCTCACAAAAATATCAGTATAGTTCTGACTGCAGATACGGAGGCACCAATGGCCCTAAAGTGAGATGACTGGTATTGCACTCTCACAAAAAATATCAGTTGCTTCACTCTGCTGATGGGACAAGGGACGGAAGTGCTGGGGAATAAAATTTTATATAAAAAATTATAAACTTATTTTTCATCAAACAATGTTTCTCTACCAATGGCAGCACTGAAAGTCATTAGAATGCATTTTTTTTTGGATATTACTCTCTCACTCTCTTCTACACACTCTCAGCGTCGTTCCAACTCTCTCTCTGTCTGTATCTCTCTTTCTCTTTAATGTCACATTGATCGCTTTTCATTTGATTTGAGATGAGCAGGGATGGCTGGCTCAGACTCAACTGCACCTATGGAATTAAACTAATCGAGAATGTGTTTTTTCCATGTCGTAACAAAGGTAGAGCTCTAAACGAATGGATATTGTTTTCCTCTTAAATCTGATGCTTAATCACGTGCACGCTGAATCACTGATAGATTGCATCCCTCCTCTACCCCCCCTTTTTTCTCTCTCAGTGACAGGTGAAGTCACTTTAGCAGTAGCTGTAGAATTGAATAAGAGGCCTACACTAATTTTGAAGAAGCATTCTTTGTTTGATTGCCTGTTACTTTGTGGGGGTGTTTGTATGTGTCTATAAGTTTACTGTTTGTGTCTGCTGAGCGTGATTGCAGCTTAGGTGAAATGATCTGCCAAAGTGAAGTGCCTTTTCTTCCTTCGGTGGAATTCATCTGTGTGCGTGTCCAGCTAAAATGCCATCCAGTGCCCAGCTGACCTACAAATTGACACTTAGGATCTAGCCCCATATAACATCTTCAACCACAGCCATTGCCTGGGAGCGATCATTTGCATGAGAATGCGATTGCGCCGGACCCTCAGGGTCCTCTCTCTCATCAGACAAGTGGGGTCGCCTTCTTCCCTGGGTGCCTCTTGAATTTGTAGGTAATTAGTAGTTTCTGACTCTGGCACACTCTGCCAGTGCCCTCAGTGGCAGTCAAGGCCCTAATCTCTCCTTTAGGGCTCCACACATCTCTCTCTCTCTCTCTCTCTCTCTTTTTGCGAGTAATATAACAAGACAGAGAGAGAGAAAGAGAAGACCACTTTGTTATCTGCAAGGTTCAGCCAGTTAAACCATTAGAAGGCACAATTATTGCCAGTAATAACTGAATTTATGTGATTGTCTCTCAGTTATAGCGCATTGAAACAAACAGGAAAACTGTACATACTTTAAAGTACATATTTAAGACAAATATTGTGTTTAAAAGAGGAAGAGGAGATATTTTACTACGATTTAATGAAAAGTTGTTGTGCGTGCGGTCCTGTTGTGCACACTGCACTTAAAAAACTCTTGCTTAAAAGCAGCCCAATTGGGTGCTGGGTCATTATATAACAGACCACATTCTGGGTTAAACTTACCCATCATCACTGGGTTACATGAATAACCTAATTGGCCAAGCCATAAGAGTTTCTCTAATGTATGGTTACTTTAACTTTAGCATTGGGTTATTTGCAGCTTTTTTTTGTTGAGTTTAATCCTAATAAAATCAACTACTTATTAGTCTAATAGCAATCATTAAGTATAATTGAGAAGTTCTGCTCAATAATAAATTAATAAATTAATTAATAACAATAAATAGTTAAACATTTTAATAATATGTAAGTTCCCCCTCAGCTTGTGCAGACAATTTGGCATGCTTATTCCAACCTGTAAAGAAAGGTTAAAGAAACAACACTCAGATACACGAAAAAACACACAGCAAACATTTGGAACATAAAAACAACACCTTATCACAAGTTATGTACATTACATTAAAGGAAAAGTGGTAATAGAAAGTCTAGTCTAACCAATCTAGCTAGGTTAGCTATTTAACTTAATTGGTAGGCTAACGTTAGCCAACAACAATAAAATTATTACACACATAATGTTAATGTTTACTTAAAAATGGCCTTATATATTCATTAGGGGTGGAATTCATTAGGGGAAAAAATCAATTCTTAGATGCATCGCGATGCAGATGTGAATGATTCTGAATCGATTCACAAATGTCAAAAATCAGTTTTCTAAATTTTAATTTATAAAGTAATGTTGACGTAACGCAAAAAGGCGGAACTTGGAAGTGCGGAAGTGCAGCGCCCGGACAGTCTGTGGTGGCACATAACAATAACACAACTAGATGATCGAGAAATCTGACCAGCACCCTCTGCATTAAAAAACTGGGTTAGGTCAGGTTACGTCAACCCAAATGTTAAGAAGAGCCGTTTTGTCCTTTCAACAAAAATCAAACTACCTTGGGAGCCGCAACATTTTATGTCCAATATGTCTCAGTATGTGCTAATGTTGTAGTATAGGCTAAACAATATAAATGAAAACGCAGACTTACTTTGCTCTGCTTTAAGCTTTAGCTATAGACGCTTTCCTCCCTTCTCGCCGGACGCTTTTCCTCAAAAGTTGAATAGTTTCTTGTAAAATGTCTCTCAATGTTTGACTGTTTTACGAGGCTGAAGTCAGCTTCTTATTCGCCAGCTTCTTGTTCAAATTTTCCCGTTCCACCTTAAATTCTGACTGAGGCGCCTAATGTAAATGTGGCACCATTTAAGGTGGAACGGGAAAATTCGAGAGAGGAGCTGACTTCATCTTCGCAACTTTTTAGTGTTTGACAGTCTCTCGTTGCAGATTTAACGTACCAGGAAACCAACTGTGGTGCTAATAAATGCGAATAAGTCCATTCATCTCCAAATGTAATCTTAAATCTTTCTCTTTGCCTTTTTGTTAGCTACTAGCTAGGTGAGACTGCGTTGCTATGTGACCTGCAGTCTGCACGCCAGTTCTCAGTCGTTGAGAACCAAGACTTTCACTCTTTGTTGCACACGTCCCGTCTCTAAGATATTTTACTGACACAGCGACCCCCACTCTCTACAACGAGACCAAAACCAAAGTTATAAAATCACTAAAGAAAACGGGTAGGACAGCTGTAACGTGCTGCGTGGACATCCATTGCCACTGGATCTTATGTCACTGTAACAGCGCATTTTATCACAGATGAGTGGCAGCTAGTGTCCTGTGCTCCAAACAAGAGCAGTGAATGAGAGCCTTCCAGTTCACTTGCCACATCACTTCCATT